TCATACCAATCAAGTGGCATCACCAAGAGATTCCTCTTTTTGCTCTCCAGGTTACACTCCACAGGAATATAAACACAGAAACATTCTCGCCCAAATCACATTGATTTTGTATTTCTTTCTCACACTCTGCTTTGGAAAACAGTAATCACAAAGTTCTCAGTTGCCATGCAAATAAAAAGGATCATTACCGATGGATGAGGAGGCTTGTATCAAGTAAGAAAAAAGCTTCCCGAGAGTCCAGTCTTCACTAAACTGAAAAGTCTATTAAAACAGTGCTGCTAGAATTCCACCAAGTCTACATAACTCAGAACAAGGAAACCTGACTCCTAATTCATTCAGGAAAAGCAAAAGTTGAATGTACATGAGAGCTTTTAGGAGGTGGAAGAGTTAAAGAGTTCATACATATCAAAGGATGGAAATTGCTGAAAAAATGCTTAGTATAAGGGGGATGTTAAGCAAAGTAGATTGATGAAATTCCACATATACAATTTTTCCTTATCAAAAGATGGTTTCATTTACACTATAAGGCAGTACAAAACCCCATGAGTTCATTCCTTTCCCCTTGCTCTTCTAAACTACCTTGTCTGCCGTCACTTCTTTCCATGCCTCTTTCCAGCCTTTCTCCACAGCTGCCCTTTCTCTAAACAACAGCAGACTGACATCCAGGTGGAATCGAGGCCTTTCAGATAATTTTTCATCAACATGAGGATTTGCGTGGTTATGGCAGGACCCCAAGTGGCATGTGCTTTGAATGGTGTAAGAGAGCTGTGCTAGAGAGATTTACGTGATGTGTTAATTATTTTTTTTTTCCTAGCTGGTATCTTCTTGGATTTGAGTGAGGTGTGTATACTTACTTCAAACAGATTTATATACTTGCACGTACGGCTTACTCACTACTGGAAGAAGGAAAACATTTTTTCCAGCATTTGAGAACAACTAAATAAACAAACAGAACCATTTATTTCTGAGCATAACAATCAGTCGTTTAGCTACACACAATCACAGAGCCAAGAGATCTTTCTAGCACTCATAAACAGCTTGTTAGAACGTGCAACTTCAGGACAACATCACTGTTCCTGTCTTTTTCTCCAAATAGAGGACAGTAGTGGATGTGACCTGCACGCACGACTGCTGATTTATGCTGTGCTGACTCGGAGGAACTACACTGCCAGCAAGACAATTTCTCATGATTACAGTGTTTACAAGTCTCACTGAGTCCAGAAGTCCTTGTTTTGAATACAAGAAGAAAAACTGTGAACGTCTCAGACACAAGACATAGTGCATGTACCGCATGCTCTAGCTAAATGTCTCCCTTATGTAAAAGATAGATGAGACACACTTTAATTAAGGGTTAGTCAGGGAGTATAATGACCAGAGGCCAAACACAAGAGATGATAATCTTGATTACAGGTTGGTCACACTGATCAAAGTAATATATTGGCTCTATATTCCTAGAAACAACTTTGTGAACTTTTGATTAGAAGATTACTGTGTCCAAAATTCCTTCTCCATTATTTGAGACTTTTTCTTCCCTTTAAGTAGCCCACATAATTTAGCCGTTTGCTTCTTATTCACCTGCTTTTACTGGAGCTAAGCACTGATGAAGCAGAACGAAATGTTTCGAAGCACAGATTAAAATTTGACCTACGAAACTCAACAAGGGCTCCAGCCTCTGTGGCCTGTTTTCCCTCACTTTCCTCTGCACCTCCACCCCAGGCTGCACCCTGTGCCCTTTAATGTGTGGTTTCAGAAATTCCCTTCCACCCAAGGGCTGCCCCAGGCTCTTTCCTTCATTTCCTTCTTTCCTTCACAAGCACCATTTCAGCCTGTTTTGCCTTGCCCTGCTGAACTTTCTTGCCAAGGGGAGCCAGAACTGCCCATTCCTCAGCTTGTCCTGTCATGCCAGGTGTTTCTGGCACTCCTGGCCTGCCTCCTGGCCCCTTCCAGGTGTTAGCAGCACTCACTGCTTGCCTCAAACCAAGCACCTCCATGCTTCCTGCCTACCCACACACTCTCCTCCAGAGCCCTATTGGGCTGACCCAGGCCATCTCTTTCTTCCCATTTCCCCACTCTGTAGCAGTTCTCCTTACATCTCCAAGCATTGTCACATCCTCCACAGTGTGCAAACATACTCCACTGACCCTTCTTCCCAGAGCATAGAGCTCCGGCACGGTCACTGCTCAGCTAGCTCTGCTTGGGTTCCCCCTCCTCCTCCCATGTCTCTCAAGAAGCATTTCAGCTCCCTGCAAAAACCCTGAAGCCACCTTTTGCTCAGCTCTGACTGCTTCAGCACCTTCAGTTTCTCTTCCCCACTACCTGCAGTGACCTGTTCCACATACGCTTTAACTTCCTCCTGGCCCCTTGCCTAAGCCTTTGCAACCCAAGTCTTCTTCACAGCCATCAGTTCCTGCACCCTGCCAGTGCTCTGTGCTTGCTACCCTTACCTGTCCCCTCCACTCCCCCAGCAGCTCAGACAGCCATACCTTCCCTTTCCATTTTCAGCCACGCTTCAACACACTGGATCCAGTGGGACCACAAGCCTTTTTATTCCTCTCCTTCAGACAAAACATACTTCCCTCCATCACCTCCAATGAATTCTGCGAGGCCCCAGAGGTCCCCTCACCCCTCTACAGCATCCCCTCACTGAGAGAACCTCCTGCCTCCATGGCAGTCTGTGCACAGCCGCTAGCTGCCCTCCCTGCATCAGGAGGAAGAAGCAACCACCTGTTTGGGCACTGAGCTCTGACCCTCAGGCAAGGAATGGCCTTCAGTTATCCTGGGGAATACTCCGAGTTCCTTCCTCTGGAAGCAAGCCTGAATAGATATTAAAAGAACAACATCACCTTAACAACAGCCACTCCCCCACAGACCTTGTTTTAAAGGTTAGGGGAGAGAGAACCAGCAAAAAGGAGCCCTGTTATTAGGTTATTTTACTGGGATGGTGTGATCTACCCATCCTCTTATCATTATGGATATCAGATGTGAAAGGATGCTTAGAGAAGGAGTACTTAATCTAAAAGAAAGGACAGGTAGTTATCAATATTTATTTAGAAGCTAAAGAAAAAGTGCAGTGCAATAGTTCCCCCTACTGACAGCATAAAATTAAATGGCTAATAAATGTTACTTATTGGGTGGTCTTCAAACTGCTAATTCAGTGTCCCAGCATCGCTGCTACCTGAGCCTACTGGTACACAGCAAACCACCTGAAAATCAGCTGCTCTGGCAATGATTTGCCTAATGGAATAGAACCAAATCCAAAAAAAACTCTAGCAGATCTTCAAGGTCACTCAAAAGGGCAGTATGCAGCCCCACAGAAAAAAGGATTACTGAACTTGTGTGCTCTGAATGAACCGGTGGGATATCCGTCAGCAAAAAAAATAAGACAGGAACATGGGTGAAATGCGGCTGTACCTCCTCCTGTGAGTGCCAGAGTCTTAAGGACACACGGCAGGCCTGAGCAGGATCTTGCCAAAATTCATCTGAGTTTAGGTCTGACCTTTGCAGACAAAGAGGGAGCATGACTTACAAACTCATCGCCAGCCCCTGACAAAGGGCACTGAAAACATTCTTTCTGCTTTAGTGTTGCCTCTTTGTTCTAATGACAGCCAAGTCAAATCAGACCCAAGAACAGCCACTCACATGAGCCAAAATGTAGTTGGGTACGACATGTGCATCTGGCCCTTGGTGGCAGCAGCAGCTGGCTCTGCATCCATAGCTTCCATTTCTGTTGTGGAAAACTAACATGACTTTGTACACTGGTTATTTTACAAGAACAAAAGGCTGAAGAAAATCCTGCAGGACATTACAGCCTGACCTCACTTGTAAAACATAACGAGCAAATATGCAGCAGTACAGCATAAAAGAATAACAGATAAATACAGAGGTTACTGAGGCATGCACTAGAAGACTTGATTCAATAGGTGGGGATTTTGCAGAGATCTCTTATGATCCTGGCTCTCACATTACAAATGCACCTGAAAAAAAAATGCTAAATGCTTTTAAAGTAAATGTCAGATCTCATTTCAAGCACACAGACAGTGAAGATGACATCCACCAGCAGATCTAGAAGTTAGCTATGTATCAGAGATTCTCACATCACTTTCAATTCTCTCTCTGTGCTGTCTGGAAAATGTAATTACACATCGCTAGTGACAAGCACCTTCATTTTAACCACACTCCTGCACCTGGCTCTCTCACTTCAGTAAGGCTTCCTATTGCTCCCAGCACAGAATGCTGAACCACTCCGTCAGCTCACGGGCAGCATGCGAGCACACCTTCCCTTTGCTGTTCCTACAGCCTGGCACAGAGAAGCCCTGCGTATGACTGGGGGTTTGGGTAATGCACAATATAACCCACAAAACCTTAATTGCTCGAAAGGATCCCATTTAGTGTGGGTTGCAGCTGCTTGGTCAGGTGGATGTGAAACTATGACAATGTAGCATTTTCCATTTACTTTGGCTTTAGCAGCGTTGCAGCCACTGCTACGCTGATCCTCTTCCAGTAAATGAACTTCTTTTGGGGAAAAAAGTACCTGGAGCATTCCTGCTGTCATAGCCTTTATGATGATAAGGAAGATGTCGGACTGCTAACTCTCTGGGGCAAGGACTGAGACTTTTACCTCAGAGAGGAGCTCCTGCATCTCAGGCACTGCCTGAAACAAAACACCGTAGCTGCTGCAGGAAGTCACAGCGTGTGGTGTGGTTACGTTCTGCTGCTGAGCCACTCTCGGGACAGCCCCGAGCCCTTCAACTAGAGTGGGTCACAAAAGGCAGCGAGCAGGGTCCACGTGCAGGAGAGGCACTGGCCCTGTGCCTCCCTGGAGAGGGGGAGAAGCCCTTTGCACAGGCCACAGCGCCACATTATAAACTGAAGAATTGATTGATGTTTTGGGTTACGTTTTGATAAACAACCTCCTTCTGGCCATTTCTTATCTAAGAGCCAACATTTTACCTTTCTCCGCTATCTGCTCTGAATGCAACTCATCACCAAAACCAAAGCAATAAGGCAGCCACTGAGAGTTGTGCTACTCATGATGTTTTTGAACTGTGACACGGCCCCATTCCACTCCCCCGGGGCGGTGAGGGCACAGCTGACGCACAGGAAAAGCCACCGGGACAGAGCTGGGGCAGCATAAAGCGTGGGGCAGACGGCAGCCACGCCTGGGGACATCGCCAACAGCTCAGGGGCCACTTGCACAGGCAAGTTGGGGGGCTCTTTCTGTCTGTCCGTCTGCCTGTCCATCTCTCCATCCATCTGCAGCCTTCAGGGTGCCTTGGGAGTGGGGGGGAGGGGAAGAGAGTGTCTTACCTAGAGTTGGGGGCCTCGTGGTCCTGGAGATCCCCACTGCTCCTGCACCACTGGGCCGCTCTGTCGGGGGAGGTTTCTCTGCCAGAGGGGACTGTAGGGAATGTTGTAGCAGTAGCACAGGTCATAACTGTAGACAAAACCAAAAGCATCTGAATGAGCACCTCACAACGTGAAAAGTGAGACACTTGCACTGTATTTCATTTGCTATAGCTTGATGCTAATTTTTAAACACGGTACATTTCTGCAGGAAGCTTTCAGGGGAGATCCAATATAAATTACAGGAGTCCTGAGCTTTTAAACTTTTAGCACAACTCCCAGGAAAAGGAAAACCTGCAGCAGGATGTATTGCATTGAATGTGTTTCCAGAACCCTGGGTACAGACTAGACCTGCCCTTTGCAAGGGCAGGTTAGAAGTCCAAAGAGGTTGCAGCATCATTTTTTTTTTTTTTTTAAATTTGTATAAAAGTACAAAGTTTTTAAGACTTGGTGGGTATCACAACCACCACAGTTTGCCAGAAGCTGCAATAAAATTTCTCTCTGAAAGCAAGCAGGCTTACAAATCTTATTTTCTCAACATGAGGTATTATTACATTATGATTTGGTTTTTGTAGGTATCTCAAGAAATAAGGCCTGTGATTTCTTTGTAATTACCAGCGTAGCAACAGAGATAGGAAAATGTTCCTATATATTGCTCCAAAAACATATATTCCGTCCTTTGAAATGTTGACATTATGGAACTATGATTCAGAGTTGGAAATGGAAAAGCTTTTTATTAAAAGGTCAGCTTTTTATAAAACCGCCAATTTTACAAAAACGCCAAGATGAAACCTCATCTTTTCAATTTTCAAGGAAAAATGTCCCTCCTGCAGTGCAATCTTTAATCCACGGCACTGTATTGTACATAGTTTGTTAGTGTGAGCAAGGCGATGAGGAGCAGACAACCCCTGGTAAAGGACAAGGCCGTGGGCAGAGCTCACAGGAGGACCAAGGTGGAAGGCCCCAGGGTGCCCCTTGTCTACTTATCCATAACGGCCTGTTCCCAAACTACTGCTGACTTCTTCTGCAGATGACACAGCTAGAATCACAACCCAGCAAAGTCTGCATTGAGGCAATGTTTATCTCTCAGTGCAATACAGAAGTATGTCAGTTGTTCCCAGTGCATCCTTCAGTGCAACACAGGAGATGTGATAATGCTGGAAAGACGTGGAAGTGTAGGTAGGAGCAGTGACACAATCCAATGGGACCCTTCAGAGCAACCTTCAGGCTTCTTTAGTATACCGTGGGGCTAAAGCAGAAAATCAATTTCTGCTTTTTTTTAATATGAGCTTATTCTACTTCAGCTTTTGAATATGCTTTTCTGTGCCAAAAAAAAAAAAAAAAAAAAAAAATCACAATGAAAATGTTTTCATGAATGGGATTAATGATGATGTGATGCAACCTTAGAGTACAGCGGTCAGAAAGATCATCTTTGCCCAAGTAGGAAAGCAGTCACTGAGGTGTCTGCTTTGAGAGTCCACTCACCCAAAGCAATCTCTTCAGTCCTTGAAAGCAGTGGCTATTTAAACACAACTCAACCCACCTAAAATCTTAACTCTCAGTAGAGAGTCAAAAGTTAATTGGGGTATATAGCCAAGCCAAGAATTTCAGAGCCTGGGACTGGGTGACCCCACTGTTGCTTGTCTTTTGGTTTTCATATGGCTATACCCTTCCCAAGTTTTTTTTTCTTTTTCTTTTTCTTTTTTCAACACCAAATCTCAAAATTCTATGCCAAGTAAAAATGGAAAAGATATACTAGATTAATAATTAACATTCTGAAGTAAGCAGTCCTCTCCAAACAGAAGACATGGGGCTCTAGCGACAGCACAACAACATAAAATGGCATGAATTCATTGTTACAAGCAAATTCTTTGCTTTTACTACTATTTCCTAAGAACAGCTGGATTTGAAGTATACAATCCTGAACTATTTCTCCAGGAAGAGATGCTGCACAAATTTCCCCACTTCATAATCATCTGAACATATGCATTAAGGAAGAAAGCTGGCAGAGGTGCAAGAGCTAAAACATCTAGTTGTCTTACTTGCTTTTCTCCCTCTTCCTTATAACTGACCAACTTCAGTCGAGAAACATTCATTTTCAAAGACAGAGACTAGCCAGGAATATTAAAATACATAATTAAAAAAAAAAAAAAACTATGATGAAAATAAATGTTTTGTTCACTTTATATTACTAATACATTGCTATTTTCAATGCAAATAAGTTTAATTATTTCTTTTGCAGCATGTCGCAATGGAGTCAAGTTCAACAACTGGAAATAAAGTTTTTAGAACAAGTTGACCAGTTCTATGATGATAACTTTCCCATGGAAATCCGGCATCTGCTGGCACAATGGATAGAAAGCCAAGATTGGTAAGGAATACATTTGCTCCCTCTCTCTTAATATTTCCCATCATTAACAGTTTTTACCTTATCTGTCAGATTTCAGGGCACTCAATTTGTGAACCATGCAGGCATCTACATTCCAAGAATAGTATTCTGCTGTTCATGGATTTATCTTGTTGAGTTAGCATTACACTTCATCTATTTAAGAGATTCAGTATCAGTAAATTCCTGTTAAAACTGCAATGTTATTTTCAACTTCTTAAATAACAATTTCCTTTGAACCTATTTTATATACAATGGTCATGCTTACACCAACAGAATCAATAAATTACTGTGCTTTTTTCCTAAGAAACTACCACATATTACGTGAAACACGAAGGAGTATTGTTGAAAATTGCAACTGCATGTTTTGAAATAATGATTTTAATGAAAAGCAACAAATTTAAAGTTAAATATAAATATAATATTCAATTATAACATTTCTGGATTGGATACTTTTTCTTAGAGCACAGATTTCTATTCCTTATAACTTCGAATTTAAGGAACATCTGAAGGGGAGTTCTTATTTGAACTTAATCCTAAGCAAAATCCGATTAAAATGATCTAAGAACAAAAAGATGTTGTACTGCAGGACATGGTTTAGTAGGAAATATTGGTGATAGGTGGATGGTTGGACTGGATGATCTCGGAGACCTTTTCCAACCTTGGTAGTTCCATGATTCTGTGAAAATAATGGCACTAGATTTTTCACAGAAAAACATAATGCAAGTCAGTTTTCAATGGAAATGTTATACCTTTACCTCCTGTAGCACAGAATTATTCCTTTTACCCAAATCACATTTAAAGCTGGACATAGAGTTCTATGGAACAAGCCAGCAATTTGCAGGAATTGGTATCTAGAAGGTAAATTTATACAGAAATTTAGATCAAATTCAATCAATAGTTATCTCAAGAAAATTCAGAACTAAGTACCAAAAAATGTTTATACTAATAGCAGCAGGAAGAGATGTCTCAATTTGGGAAGCTAAATCCACAAGTCTAGGAGAACTATCGAAAAAAAAAATCAATTAATTAATATGACAATTTTCCTTGAAGATTATAGCATGCAGTGGGGCTGTGGAAACATGGGAATCATTAAAATCTCCTTTTTGCCAGATTTAGCAGGTATATCTCAAACACGTATCCACCATTTAGGGAACAAGGAGAGAGTAACCTTAGGACAAGGAGGCCATCCAGTCCAAAGACTGCCTTCCTCTATCCTGCTCACTAGTGTTACTGCCCTTCATGTAACAAGCTGTTCCATAAATAGCAGAACTAGTAAAGCCTGTTTCCATGTTATTTGCATTCTCTGTCCCCTACATACCCTTCACCAGTAGCTTCAGAGTCTTCTCGTATCCCCATATAGTTTGGCTGGGCAAAGGCTCATCTGGTGCCTGGTGTGAAGATATATATCTGCTGACTGGCCATCTGGCTGTTGCCTCCTGGAGCAAGTTATTACTGCCATTTTCCTCAGTGGAGGCACTAATTTGGATTCCTCTCCTCTACCAACCTGCCAGTTTTCTGGGAAATTTGTACAGATACAGTATTTTTTGGACTTTGAGCCCACTGTCAACTTTGGCTAAAAGCGGGCAGCAACTTGAGAAACTACGTCTGTGTGACTGACAGAGAGAGAGAGACTCTGGCTCACACTGTGCTCAAGCCTCATTTCCTTCAGGGAGTGGGCTAAATGTGTTTAAATATTCACAGAAACTGAGACTGGAAATCTCTGATTGTCTCCACTCTGGACGAGGCCATAGTGTGGTGAATATAAATTCAGGGATCATAAAATCAATTATTTACATAGCTCTACATGATACATTTCAATCGAGCTTCTAACTGCCTTTATTTCTCAATGGATTGTAAATTTCTGTACAGATAGTTTGGCACTTATGACATTTTAAAAATGTTTCTCGTTCATCTGTTCTCAAGGGAGGCTGCATCCAACAACGAAGCAATGGCAACCATCCTTTTACAGAACCTCCTAATACAAGTGGATGAACAGCTAGACCGGGTTTCACAAGAGAAGAACCTTCTCTTGATACACAACCTGAAAAGAATCAGAAAGCTGCTTCAGGTATGTTGTTCCTCCAGATAACCAATTGCACACTCTGCCTGGCTTCTAAGGGCAACGCCTGACCTCTGCTAACACAGCTTGTTCCTGTGCACAGCTCAGAGCTTTCCCTATTCCCTTTTCCAGGCAGCTATGGGAAGAATAAGCCTCCAATAAGAGGCTATCAGTAACCATGTGGAAAAATAATCCACATTTTTAATTCACGTTACTGAGATACAACGATGTTGTGACCTCTTGGCTCAGCGCATACCCACGTCTTACTCAGCTCTTAAAAACAGGTTGATACAGTGCTTATAGATGTCAGTGTTTGTTACAAGTGTGATTAACAACTTTCCAGACACTCACACACACGTTTAAATACGATTAGCTGTGACAGTCTTTGGGAAAACATCATGTATTTTGGCCTTAGCAAAACAGCACCCTGAAAAAGGAACCACATTTGCTATTTTGTTCTTAGCTGTGATTACTTGTTATGAATTGCTTAAAGGATTTTCCTTTAGGCTTCTGAAAAAGTGATATTTACTTTGATTGGTTGAACGTTCCTCTAGTAATTGTTTATTTAAGGCAAGAATTCTCAGAGTTCCACTTCATTAGTCATCTACTTCCTGACATCTATTTGTCTTCTGCATAAAATAGATACACATCTGAGTTGAACAAAAGTTTGGGGATTTTTCTCTCCTTTCGTGGTGTTTTCCATAAGTACTTTAGTGTATCATTTACAAAATCATTTTCTTAATTTTATATGAATTCATTGATCTGGAACATCTTCATACTGCTGTGTCAATTATTTTGGTGCTACTGTGGCTGCATGTCTTTCTATTCTATGTCTGTAATGGTGGCCCCCTTAAAAAAGCAATGCTGCTATCACTTTTCCTTCCAGTGTTATGCAAGAAGTTATGCATATAATTTAAAATCAAAGCTCTTTTATTGCTTTTTTTGTTTGTTTTATGGTTTGGGTAGCAGCACTAACCCTCATTTCAGCACAGTTCAAACAACTTAACTGCTTTTGTAATGGAGAGCTGAAAGGTCATTGCTGTGATCTCCTTCATGGTCACTTGGACACTTTGCCACAGTACGGTTGAGCCAAAGCTCCACCACTTCAGGTGTTTCCTCACAGAAGCATATATGTACAAAGAGCACTGAAAAAAGCAGTTGTATTCCTAGCTCAACAGGCTGCACATTTCTGACTCCGCCTTCACAACGTGCATATGCACATGGATTGTGTGTATGTACTTCCAGGCTCTACCAAAGTAAAGAATCTCACTGCTCCTCCTTTTCCTCGCGCCATTTATTTTACTCTAAACTTAAGTTGGCTAACTTGAGTTGGCCACTTTGTGTCCTCTGTGAAATTCAGGACACTGAGATGACGCATCAGCCTAGAGTGCATACACAGTAGCTGACCAGGAAGCTGGTGTGAACATGGCCAGAGCGAAACCCAAGTCCTGCAGGCCCTGACTTAACAAGCTTCCTCAAGCAGTGAATTCTCTGCTCCACAAAGGTTTGCAGGTTGACAGTCTAAAGCAACACAAAACTCCTGAGGGAACACCAGAGATGCTGGAATTGCGCTGCTTATTAAAAAGGACTTTCACCTTGAGGTCTGCAGTAAAATATTTCCAATAGAACAAAAAACACAACAGCGCTATTACTAATAAGCTGACCTTTCTCTGTTCTAGCAAGACAACAAATAACGTCTATTCAGATTAAAAGCCACTCATTCAGTTTCAAAATACACATGCAAACCACCAGACACCAAACAGTACACTTTCACTATTAGAGCTTTTCCTGGTTTCTTATAACCTTTAACTCTATAATTCACAGCCTTATTATTATTTCCAAAACAATTTCTGTAGCTTGGAGTAGAACAAGGCTCTTACTGAATCTGTATCACATATATTCTGTACAGTTGTTTAAAACATTACATTCCGATTTCTAGAACATAAATGATAATTGTTTCGTCAGCCAAAGTATGCAATGTGTGTTCTTTGTAGTTGCACCTGATTTTTTTGAATGTAACTGAGGAGTTTGGAGGTATTTGGCTTCCCACCCAAAGCTGGTGCTCTCACAGATACAAAACTCTCATAATTTGAGCTAGCTTGTGACTGCTTCATGAGATAATACCAGAAAAGGTGACTGAAGCGTATAGTGCATTGCCATAAATCCTTTTGTTCTGAAATGCTAGTGAGAGAAAAGGCATGCTGCAAAACTAGAGACCGTTCGCTAGCTTCGACTGGCTCCCTAAATTAATAGTGGAAGCTACATTGGTAAACATCTTTTCATTCCTGGTGACTTTATGAACAGTCTTGGTTTGGTTTTCTCTGAAGGTTAGTTACACCATGATCCCACCTTTCTGTTTGCTCTCTAGAACAAGCACTTCTTTGAAATTTCACAGTTCACTCCTCTTCCTTCCCTCCTCTATACCACACACAGACGTGCAGACACTTGTAGACACACAAAAATGTTCAACCTCAATATGTGACCTGAATGCATTTGTTTGTTTACTATTTTGAGCCAATTATATATGGCTTGTCAAGCCAGATAATGCTGGAAACTAGCATACTGAACACAAAGCTGAGCTGTGGTATAGGTCACTAAATACTACAGCAACAACAATAAAATAATTATAAATACAGAACATTCATAGCACAGTCTGCAACTCTGGACAAAAGACAAAGTGTAGGACTACTGCTTAATTAGTCATACAATTAAGTCATTTGTGATGGCCAGCCTTAGAAGAGGAAGCAATAGCCACTTGACAAATGGCTTCTGCAGCTGCTTCCCAGGCAGCACAGGCTCAAGATTCCTCGTGCTGTTATGCCTACTAGTTTCCAATAGCACAGCCGAGCACTCTCTGTTTGAAAGATTCCACTCTGATTCCTTTCTATTATCAGGAAGAGAAAAAGTTCTGTGCTCCACCTGAAATGTCTGTATGCAGACATCATCATTATTCCATGGGATTAAGGAAGGAATTAGGGAAAAGAGAGAGACCTTGCCTGCCTGATATTTGCAATATAAATCTATTATCAATCTCAGGAGCTGCAAAATGCAAAGACCAGAACTGTCAGCAGAAAAACAGCCTAGCACCCTTGTTTTTAGGTCACCAAGACCACCCCTATTTTTCTACCACCACAGAAATAATAAAGGAGCATGACATTTCTGCTCAGACTGCTGAAATTTCCAGAATTACCTTGATGTAAAATGAAATGTTGACCAGGAAACGTACAATGTGAAAAAGTTTTAAGTACTTCAAGGCAACTTAGCTAAGCTGTTAACTCTCAGTAATTTGCTTCTCTATCCATTTCTTGCTCTTTCAAAATGGTACATCTTGACATTAAACTAGTAAAAATGCACGTATTTTACTAAAAAGGATCAGTGCTTTAGGTTAAAATCCCTTGTATTCTTATATTACTATTACTCCTCTAGTCAGTAAATTGGATTCATTTTTACAGCAGATTGGCCTTTTGTTGCGATGCTTTTCAGTGGATGACAGCAGAGCACAGCTGCTTGCTAAGGTTAAATTTTATGTCCCTCCTCCTACAGAAGTCCTGCTCCTGTGAGCAGCAGCTCTATAAAGGGATGAGGAGAGCATATGTTTGGATGGAGGAAGCTCTGCCTATGACTCTTTCTCCTGTTTAAAGCCTAGATGAAGAAAAGCAAAGCAGATTAGTCACAAGGACATGGTTTGTGCTGTTGCTATGACAGCAGAATGTAAAGGGCAGATGTTAAGCTCCAAAGAGCTGCCTATCACTTCTAGAACAAAATTTGAAATGCAACAGTCTGCAAGACCTTAGCCCATAAACAATTATATCCTGGCTTGCTGAAGAATTTCTTGTAAATAACTGTGCCTGTCCCTGAAGCAAGCTTCTTCAAAACATGCAAATAGATTTGGTGCACAATAGAGACTGGCAAAATTACTTGTTTAGGACAGAAGCCGCCCACATTCCTCCCTCACAGGCTAAAATCCTTGATTGGTAAGAGCAGCGTGGCTGCAGGGATCCTGCAAGGCTGCAAGTAGACTGAGGATTTAAGACAGACATGGCTCTGCCCATGCCCCACCTGCCCTTGTAGGAACAGTCTCCAAGTTATCTAGAGATTTTTCATCTTAGATATCCTTGTGCCCTTGCTTCTTCTCTTACCAGAGCTAGAAATTTGGCTTGGCTCGGCTGCCTGAGCCATGCCTGAGGTACCAGAAACTTCGCCAGCAGTGTGTTCAGGTGGCCAAGAAAGCCAATGGCATCCTGGTTTGTATCAGAAGTAGTGTAGTCATTAGGAAAAGGGATGCAATTGTCCCTCTGTGCTCAGCTCTGGTAAGGCAGCACCTTGAGTTCTTTGTTCAGTTTTGGGCCCCTCAATACAACAAAGACATGGAAGCCCTTGAATGCGTTCAGAGAAGGGCAAGGAAGTTGGTGAGGGATTCAGAGCACAAGCCTTATGAAGAACAGCTGAGGGAGCTGGGATTATTCAGTCTGGACAAGAGAAGGCTCAAGGGAGACATTATCACTCTCTACAACTGCCTGAAAGGAGGTTGTGGTGAGATGGAGGTCAGCCTCTCTCCAAAATAACAGTGATAGTATGAGAGGGAATGGCCTCAAGTGGTGCCAGGGGAGGTTCAGGTTGGCTATTAGGAAAAATTTCTCCTCAGAAAGAGCAGTCAGGCACTGGAACAGCCTGCCCACAGAGGTGGTGGATGCACCATCCCTGGAGGTTTTCAAGAACCGTGTAGATGTGGCACTGAGGGACATGGTTCAGTGGCCACTGTGGTGATGGGTTGATGGTAGGACTGGATGACCTTAGTGATCTTCTCCAACCTTAATGACTCTATAATTCAGAGACAGAGATGGGCTGTGCAGTGCAATGGGCATATGACAACAACACCAGGAAAAAGCAGGAATTCCCAGCATCATCCCACTCATAATCACAGCTCATCTTTATGCTCTAGTCTCATGATAACTCTTGAAAGCAATCCCTTCTCACTAACAGCAACATACATCTGTGTCACAAAATTG